GTTTATTAGAAAAAACAATGATAGGTACTTTAGATTTTTATTTTCAGATTTTTTACTTATTTTTTTCAATTTTGTAAGCATTTTTTTAAGTACTATTTATAGAATTGCATTTATTTTGGGTTTACTTGTTTTAATTTCACTTATTAAATACATATTAAAGTAGTAAATAACGTTTTTGTTAAAAAAAAGCATTTGCGGTGCAATAGCCGCGGTGGTGCGCCCACTGGAGGGTTAAACGGGAAGCGGGGTCAGGTGGTACATCGTTTTAAACGGCGTTTAATTCTCTTTACGTTCGTTATTACGTTATTGCTTTTTGTTCAGACGTTTTTAAATAATCGCGTTTTAAAGTTGTAGAAACAATTAAACGTGCATTCAGGCATTGGTTTTCAGCTTAGTGTTTACACAAAATCAATTCAATTGGATCTTTTTGTAATACAGATGATTAGAGGAGTAGGTTACCTTGTAAAAATCGTTGAATAGCAGGAAGAAAATCTAGTTTAAACAATTGATTTCGGATTTATTGATTATTTTACTTTTTTACGATTTTAAACATCACTTTTTATTTACGGAAGAGAAATTTCTACAATAAAACCTAGAGGACCTTACGCATTATCTTATAAGTTGTTCAAACTGTTGTCTATTTTCCTGTAAACAATAATAAAGTATACTTTCGAACCCTTCCAAACATTGATAAGATATTCCCGGATAGAATAGATACATCGATTGGCAGAAGGGAACCAACTGAATAGCCGCCTCCAAGGTCACCTTCTTTTATTGGAGATCTCTTGAGTCCATTGTAGATCCAAGAATGCCGGTCACTTCCCGGTAAAGTGTTCCGAAAAGATAGGGAGGAGCTTTTTTACAGCAGTTTTTTAGCTTTTTACAGCAAAAGGGACAACATTTGAAACAATTTAATAAGACAGTGCTTAAGACAGTAAGTAGTTGACATTCTTGTTATTGTAGAAATTTCTCTTCCGCAAATAAAGTTAGTTTTGTCGATGTATAATAATCAATAAAGAGGAAATAAGATCAAAATAAAAAATACGAAATTAATGTTTAAACCAGATTTTCTTCTTGTTATTCATCGATTTTAACAGTATAACCTACTCATCTAATCATCTGTATTCCAAGAAATCCAATTTAATTGTTTTGTGTAAACACTAACCTGATATCTGAATATATCAGATAAACCAATATTTGACAGTTCTTTCCGATTTTTAATATTTTCAACTGCAAGAAATATATTAAGGGCGGGAAGTTTTCAAATAGACACCCGGTATGTCTCTTTCCTGGTTCGAAGTTTTTCGAAAATTGCCGGTAATATCTGAGTTTTATACATTTTCGAAAATTTCATTAAATTTTTTTATAGCGCTATTTTCTTGACTGTCTAAATAATCATATATTGCTGCTCATGTACTTCCATCTTTGTAATTAAACCTTTTCAAAACTAATCTTTTCGGCAGTCAAAATACTTTCAGATAATTAATTTCTCCAACATGATGAAGGACTGCTAAGTCCCAATCAATTGGTTTTTGGTTAAATTGAATCGCAGAGGCACATTCGTTTTAAATTAGCACAAACGTTCTTTATTCTTTTGACGTATTTCATTATCTACTACCGTTCAGGCGTTGCCTGAAACTTAAACTGAACGGCGCTCAGTAGGTTAAACGAATTTTAATGGGATATTTGAGGATATTTATAAATTTGAGTACCAGATATTTGAAATTTTATGTGCAAATGAAAAGCCGATTGGGCCTGGATATAAAAAATCATTAAAGCGTGATAATTACAATTTCATTATTCAATCCCCTCGAACCGTAATGGAAATCTGTTGAAGTGATATGATGTATTGTTATTAGAGTGTGGTTAATGTGACTGATTTGCGGCCTCTTCAAATATATTGCTTTACGGGAATGTAATTGAGTAAATGTGGCACGATGAAGTTGATTTCGTTTCGTTACGAATTATTCATATACACGTCACGTATATCGTTACCTGGTTAAAGACCCGGGACATTTTCATTTAGTTCAAGTTTATGGGCTGTCAAGTCGTAGTCTTTTGACTATTTGATCTTTGATCATTTGACTATTTCGTTAAAGATAAACAGACATATCATGCGCTATCGGGCGGCGGAATATCCTACCGAGATCAGAACTGTGCCAATAACAACATCCATGGCCGTTTAATGTTTATTAGTGCATGGTGTAATTCAGATTATAATTATTGGGCCACATTTTTTCGAAATATATTAAGCTGATTACATGTACACCATATACCCATTTTATGGAACAGCTTACCCCGATTAATAAACTAGAACTTGAATGTGTAGTTTTAGTAGGATTAATTGTTCGTCTTAGCCCGGTCGACTGGCCTGTGCGGTCTCCAGACCTGTCGCCACTTGATTGTTTGAGGTTTAATAAAAGAACAAATCATGGTAACTGCTGCCCTAGCCTCGAATAACGGTAGTCTTTTCTTAGATAGCTTTCTTGGAGAGGTAGACTGTCGCGACAACAAATATTTCAACTGCCAAAGATTTGGGGGATTATTTCTGCATCAGGACATTTGACTAACGTTTTTTCTTAGCAGGATGTTTAAGTATACTCATATATCATACAAAAAAAATACAGAAGAGCCTGTACTAGTCATAAAAGTTGCAGCTTGATAGTCCAACAAGCTAAAAGAAGCGAGGACTTTAATAGCTGCGGCCTACCGGTTATGACTTGCGGATTAGAAACAGCAACACTGACAATCAGAGGAACAAACAAACTTAGAACAAAACAACGAGCAATAGAGAGGCTTATGATTCGAATTGGTTTTCAGAACCACATTGGCAATGAAGAAATGCGCTTCAAATAACGGAAAGAACGTGATGCTAAAATGGGCATGGGCGTGTTGTGTTGACAGACAAGATGACATATAATGGCTGATGTTCATAACACAATGGAGACCTATATTACAAAAACGAAGCATAAGGGTACCTCCCAAACTATGGTTGGATTTCTCCTCTAAACTGCATGCTTGTGTTCTGGATTTGCACGAAAAATGTTGATTACTATCAATACCAACATTAAGTTACAATAAAATATGAAAGTACAAATGGTAGAAGTAAATAAGTATTTGCTAATTAATAAAGTATCTTATTACGATTCGTAAGAGACCTTGCGACATAGTATTCAGTGAATAACGTAACGCTGATATTACAAAGAGAGATCATAGAGAAGAGTATAGTTTGCAGCTCATAAATAAGTTCTAATTAATTTTACCGTCATATTGCAACAGATAACTTTTAATTAGCTACAGTATTTCTACGTGGCATCAAAATTGCAAGTAAAACTTTTCGCTACATGACCGACTAAGATATAAATAAGTTGTAAGAGCCGACTATAACACAGAAAGTGGAGAATTATCGGAATTAATAATGCTGACTGAATGCTAGTAGATTGGCCGCTTATTACCAGAAATTCATTGAAACCTATTCCCCTTATCATCTCGTTTTAAATATTTGTATTTTATATATGATTAATTGCCTTTTAAATATTTGTCTGGTATCTAATTAATTTTTCTCATTGGGTTTAAACCGTGAAAAACATGCGGACCTCAAAACTGTGCATTTATCTCTTATACGAAACCTATAGCTATAATGTGGAAGATATTACACCTGAAGATTGTTGCAGCAGTGAAAGCTGCTATTCCGAGTTTTTTTAAATATTTTTTTCGAGTGCGCGAATACTTTCAATATTGTTTTCTCTTGAATATGTAGTTTGAAAGCAATCATAATAAGATGCAAAAATGATTATGTTTGTGTTCTTTTTTAGGTTCACACGAAAACGCGGATACACAAATAAGAAATACAATTACTCTCTAAGGAATGTATTCTTGCTTCTATCAGTTTCTGTTACTTTATAAAACAGTACTATTGTATTATCTCGTGTATTATAAACCATGCAAAAAAAATGGGAAAATAAAAATAGGTTTTTAAATAAAATATCATTACCAATTATGTACTAAATAACGAAACACTAAGTGGACCGTATCAGATATTAAGGCATTTAGAAGAATGGATTGAAGCTCAGATCACTACTTAGTAGACTCCAGATTTCTCATCCCTTTTCATAGGTAGGTAAGGTTGAAAATGCAGATTGTTCCACCGGAAAAAGCATCTGAGATTAAATATAATGTCGGAAGCCTATACGAACTTAGTGTCAAGAAACTATACCAAAACCAGAAGACGAGAGATCAAAGATAAACAACAACGATAAATATCCCAAACAGTAAACAAACGATTTGTACGCCCATAATATGGAGACAATGAAATCCTCAGCTCTAGAAGCTTTAGTCACTTTAGTCACTAGTCACACTAGAGAGAAACACCACCACGATGTGCATTATTAATTTAATGGCATCATTAGGAATGAAGAATTAGGAAAAGACAAACATCAAAACAGCAAGCATACCAGAAATGCCTCAATACGAAACATTTTTAAGTAGATTTTTTTTCTTGGAATACTTAATCGTGGAAAAACGTTCTGGGGAAAGAAAAATAGATGGTTTTCATTACTTTGTTTCAAGGCATGAACTGAACAAAAAACCCCAGCAGAAAAACTTATTCAACCAGTTTTTAACGTGTACTAAAGATCCATGAGCATTAGGAACAAAGTTGGAAATATTTCTTTCTTGGTAACTTCTCCACAACAGGCCCAAGTAAAAAAGTTTATTAGATCGTCCAAAACACTTTAGCTCTTCTATGAAACGCCTTGTATATTTTTGCTAAATTAATCTGTATAACTGGCTGCGAATTTTGAATTGATAAGATGAAGTAGTCGAAAAGAGAATCTGGCTTTATATAATTTAAACATTTTTAGGAAGCAAATGACCGTTTAAATTAATTAAAGATAATAGAATTTTGTTCTAATTTTCAATAGGATAAATACTCAGATATGAAGACGGTGGAATTTTAAGCTAACAAATTTGTGATATTAAAAAATGTTGGCAAGTTTTACCTTCTTCACCGTTACTTAATGTTATAGCTTCTCCACCTTCTCTTCTCCAAGATATATTGGGTATTGGTGAGCCAGTCGCTGCACACTGGAGAGTAACATTTAAACCTTCTCTCACAAATAGGTCGTTACTGGTTGGATAATCTAAGATGTCCGGCGGAACTGCAATTAAAAAGGGCATTAATAGTTTAGTGTTATAGCGCTAGCAGTGAAAAATATTTAGGAATTTGTGATAGGTATTATAACTATATGCCAAAAAAAGTAATTGCAATTTAACTTAAAAGACAATTAATATTTGGAGTTATTACTTACAATAAAGCAGTTTTTCAAACATTTAACATTTTATTGCATTAAAATCACCTAAAAACAGTTTAAAATGCAAGATGATCATCTGAAAGCTGGCTCAAGAGTACTTCTCGACTTTGAGACCTTGATATTTCGAGTTAGCAAACCATGCTAGCAAAATATCAGATAAAATTCCTATAGCACGGCTTTAGATCCGATATAATTAAGAAAATCTATGGATTATTTCGTTTACGCGTGCACACAATTAGGGCTGTGACGTGATATAGAGGGTGTCCCGTAAGTGATCAAAGGGGCACTAAGATAATCTTTGGCTCAAACGAAGACCATATGACCTAACTTTTATTAAGGAAGAAATGTTGGGATCCCCTGTACTATTTTTTTTATTATCGGGAAAATGGTACGATGGATTTTAATGAAACTCGCTATGAATGCGTTCCTATACAGGGTGGCCCACCGGGAAACGCCGCGATCGATATCTGGCAAACTGTAATTAGCAGAAATTTGTAAATTGGGCAGTGAGCCGAGGTCATTGGAGCCATGCCGCCTAAAATATTTCCAAGAAGGCCACCGGTTATACCTGAAGTGCATATCAACTTACTTATATTAAATTAAACACCCTACATATTATTAAATTTTTAAATTCTACTCCCAATTCTAAATATATTTCATGTATAATATCATATACTAAGTCTAACCGTTTTTCAGATATTTGAAATTTTATGTAAAAAATGACAGTTGCAGCCACTCGAATAATTATTCATTTTTCCTATAAGGGAATTTGTCATATTTAATTTGAGTCAAATTTATTGTTTAAATCATCATTTATATTTTTATCGCATTTATCGCAAAAATTATTTTTTTCAAATAAAAACCCCTATTTTTGATAATTTTGTCATATTCAGTATTAAAAATAAGTGTAATTCTTGTCTATTCCAAAAGTGTTTAGTTTTCTAAATATTGCCAATTTAATGTTTTCATATGGCTATTTTACAGCATCTTCTTTTAAATCCTGTCACTCTTAGTTGCCATGACGAAGTGACCATTTTTAATACAATAAGATGCCAAAGGAATGCTGACAGCTGTCAGTTACCTTTATCCTCACTTGTGGTGAGGAATTCTTGAGTCGTACAAAACTTCCAAAACGTTTTATTTAGTGGTTCGAATCAACAAATTTTTTTAGTTGGTGCCCAAATTCTTTTTAAATATTTTTCCTGAGACTCTGTAAAATATTGCATTCATAGCTTTTGCAAAAAAATGTCCGTTCCCTTTCTATTGGCAATTTAATACATTAACTGCAAACGTAGGTACAGCCGGCGAGACATGAAAGTAGACGATTAAATAGTAGTTGTGTAAATCTGACTTTCTAACTCGATCTACCTTTGCGTAAATGCCATAATAATGACAAATTAATTTTCCTATTACCAAAATGACACTTTGAAAAGTATTTGAAAAACTCGCCAACTGTATGAGGTAATGTACATTTGACGATCTATAAAAGTAGACGACTCGACTACGATCGACAGTAGCGATTTTATCCGATTTTTATAAATCAGGCTTTGCGAAATACGCCAAAGATGCAAATTTCACAAACTTGTTTAAATTTGACAATCTAAGTAATTTCTTTACAAATTAATAAATCGTGCTTTTTGGCTTTCCAAATATCTCAGCTACTGTTTTTGTTGATTATCCGTCCTCGAATAATGTAAATTTCAGATTTTTCAACTAATTTTGAATGTGGAATTGTGATAAGAGGAAAATTTATTTGTCAGTACTATGTCATTTACGTAAAGGAAGACCAAGACTTCGTGTTGGCTTTTGGAATCGTTTTCGTCCGAATTGCATTGCAAATATGTTTTTGTCCGAATCAGAAATCTTACGAAAAAAAGAAGCGCGTTTTCAGGAAAATATGGCTTTGACATAAAAAAAATAGCACAGATGTTACTGTGGATAACAAATCCACAGCAAGTTTCATTAAAATCCATTTGAGCGCCTTTCCGATGTTATAAACAACTTAATTTTTGTTTTGTTAATGTAGAAAGCTAATGAATGACTAAAATTGTGAGTTGGCAAGAGAACAGAATTACATAATTATTTTCCTCAGCATTATGGATATTATCCCATTTTCATTGCGATATTAAGACATTCACACCGGGCTTATTCAAAGGAACAATGGCTTGGCAGGCGATGATAAAAGCTTAGACAGAGGAAAAGGAAGTAGATCATATGAGAAAAGCTTTGATAATCGTGACTGCTAATGCCGTATGGTCTAGAAAATCCTACCATTCAATATATGATACAAAATTAGGAGGAGCGACATTATAGAGTATCGAATGAAGAAGAAAATGTTCTATCTTGACACAAACAACAAATATTGCTCATTGTGTAGAATATTTGGGAAAACAGCAATAATTACTGTTACAATAATGACACCGGAAAATACAGCGCAATGGAAAGCGACATTATATTAGATGGACTCAAAGTCTTGACATGTATGGCATCATCTATAAAACTGTTATAGCAGATAGCGGCAGCAGCTTTTCTGAGAAACGCATTGAAACAAACTATTTTAAGACTTTGGTTAGCTATCGAGGCAGCTCCAAAAAGTGTACTGGAAATTATTTTAGTGGGTGGCCATTTTTTAAGCTAATATATGAAGTCCCAGGCGAAAAACTATTCATGTCCAGTTTTTGTAAAAATTGAACTAATCAGGCCATTTAGTAGAGCAAAACAATATGAATGGGAATATGAAATCACCAAGGCAAACAACATTACTTGTTCCCAATCATTACTAAGGAACGATTTCGGAGGAACGAAGTTTTAAAATACCTCTGACCAGAAGAAAAACCCATCTGATTCAAGATCTTAAAAACAAAATGACGGAGACAGAACTTAATTTAAGAAAAGGCCATTTATTCTTTTGAGAAGAAATAAAGAATAGTCGCAGCTAACGGAGGAAACTATGAAGCAGTAGTAATGAACAATGAATGGAGCAGACACAATATACAGTGACGGTTTTTATGCGCTCACAGGTTTCTTGGTGGTTCAGAATCCAAATAGTTCTATGAAAACTTGCTTGAGACCGAAGTTCAAGCCCGTATCAATTGAATTGATTGAATCCCTCGTATCAATTGAATGAAATAAGAACGTATCTTGTTTTCACAAATGAAAACCCTAAAATATTAATATTCCGTGATTTCTATATTTTGTTATTAACTCATGTTATCAAATATAAGCTAAACATTTTGCTTACAATTTTTTGGTTTATTTTGAAACTTTTTGTACCCCATAGAATTTGGTTAAACTAAAAATCGATTTTTCTCAAAAGTAAATCGGGTCAACATGTATGGTTTTTCTCCCCAGGTCTTCATATGGGTAGGGCCCCTCATCTGAATTGAGGCAGTACAAATGTACGAATCAATAATAATAATTTTTGAATTTTCGTAAATTTTAGATTTCTAACTAGCCATTGATAAAATTAAATGGAAATAAAATAGAGCAAACAATCCGAGATTATTTTATTGTTTTGTATTGGGTATTATTCGTTATTGCCAATAGCTTAATTACTATATTTGTTATTATCAAATTGATTTTATTTAATTGCCTTATTTAAATTGAGAAAGATTCATCAATATTTAAAATATTATAAATTATTACTAATAACGTTTATTATAACTAAAGTGTATTCTTATGTTAGTTGCAATTCCAGTTTTTCGGAGCAATTCTCGTTCTGTTTGGGGACTTTTAATGAGTAAGAACTAGGAGTAATTTTATTTCGTTAATTTATGTATTCCATTTTACTTTTTTACCATCAGTGGGCTGATGGTAAAAACTGTTGATAATGGGCGATTCGTTCTGCTGCATTAATAACTTGTCGGGATTTTATGTTCCCTGGCCAATACCCGTAGTTAAATAAAAAATGAATGTTTCAGATACAAGTCTGATTTAAAACATAATTCCTACTACGGTCCTAAAAAATCCGTTGACGGGTGCAATCCCGACGTAAACAGTTCGACAAACGAGAGAGACAGCATTAAAATCGAGCTGGAATTTGACAAAAATATGTCCCCGAAAATGGCTTCTTTTAGCATTGAATCCTAGTAGCATCTTTTGTCCAAACTAAAAAAAGTGAAGCATTCTAAACTAGAAGGTTTAGAGGTTGTCAGAAATACAATTTAAATGTGAAAAAACAATTGCAACCATGTATATACGAAATTTGAAAAAATTTACATTTGTGGACTATTGTTGCTCAGTTTAAGCATACTCAGATAAAGTTTCATAAATTAAAAATGACTTTCTGACATGCTAGAGGATAGCATCCATCCAATTTTTCAAGTTTGAATCAGATACAAGAAGTAGATTTTCTGTAATTCACTGTCTAAAATGCACGGGAATTTCTATGCTATTACGTATAGCCTTAACTGAACCATCGCAGTTTTTGCAATTTTCAATAACATTTTTTTTCAACAACAAAGTTTTTCTTCATACGCCTGATAAGAGTTACTTTAATACATGATATTTGCATCGGTTCAATTTACTTTTACCCTTGTCGATTTTCTATCTAGATTATCTTGTGAGACATCGTGTTTTCTGATGGTTCCATAGGTATCTAGTTCTATTCGACTATTTTGAAATAATCTCATTGAATGGAAATAATCTATAAGCTTTAGAATTAGTGGTTACCTCCAATTTATACCATTTTTGTGTTGAGAGATTTTGTCCTAAAATCTTGAAACCACTGCCGTAAATTATTATAAGTTCAGGCCAATGAGGCCACAAAATAGATTGGATCTAAATATGCGGGTAGGGTTACTAGGAGACAAATCATTTTGCCCTATATTTACTTACTCTGGCGACAG